ACACAATTGACATTATCCACTTATTTAGTTCGTAGAACTTTTATATCGAATTCGAATACATTACTAGAATAAATATGGCACTAATAATTTTGACGCGTATAAACAAAAACAAAATTTAGATTTTTATTATTTGCACACAATTGACATTATCCACTTATTTAGTTCGTAGAACTTTTATATCGAATTCGAATACATTACTAGAATAAATATGGCACTAATAATTTTGACGCGTATAAACAAAAACAAAATTTAGATTTTTATTATTTGCACACAATTGACATTATCCACTTATTTAGTTCGTAGAACTTTTATATCGAATTCGAATACATTACTAGAATAAATATGGCACTAATAATTTTGACGCGTATAAACAAAAACAAAATTTAGATTTTTATTATTGCACACAATTGACATTATCCACTTATTTAGTTCGTAGAACTTTTATATCGAATTCGAATACATTACTAGAATAAATATGGCACTAATAATTTTGACGCGTATAAACAAAAACAAAATTTAGATTTTTATTATTTGCACACAATTGACATTATCCACTTATTTAGTTCGTAGAACTTTTATATCGAATTCGAATACATTACTAGAATAAATATGGCACTAATAATTTTGACGCGTATAAACAAAAACAAAATTTAGATTTTTATTATTTGCACACAATTGAAATTATCCACTTATTTAGTTCGTAGAACTTTTATATCGAATTCGAATACATTACTAGAATAAATATGGCACTAATAATTTTGCCGCGTATAAACGAAAACAAAATTTAGATTTTTATTATTTGCACACAATTGACATTATCCACTTATTTAGTTCGTAGAACTTTTATATCGAATTCGAATACATTACTAGAATAAATATGGCACTAATAATTTTGACGCGTATAAACAAAAACAAAATTTAGATTTTTATTATTTGCACACAATTGAAATTATCCACTTATTTAGTTCGTAGAACTTTTATATCGAATTCGAATACATTACTAGAATAAATATGGCACTAATAATTTTGACGCGTATAAACAAAAACAAAATTTAGATTTTTATTATTTGCACACAATTGACATTATCCACTTATTTAGTTCGTAGAACTTTTATATCGATTAATCGGAGTCTGTTTTGTATTCCGAAATTATACCATAAATTTATTTGAAAAGGACGTTTGGAAGATAGAAATCCTACATAATTTTTTTCTTCGGATATCTTATCCAGATATCCGGAGGATTTCCCAGGATACTCCAAACAAAACAAGCATAGAAAATAATTATTTCTTTTGTAAAAGTTATGAAATTAAAATTAAATCTCTTTTAATGATTTACTTATATTTTCATGTGAATGCCCTTTTAATTCAAAATACAAAATTTTGTTTTTGATTAATAATAAATGTTCAATTTTATACTTGATCTATTGAATAAAAGAGTCAGTGAATTAATTTATAATAATCATTTATATAAAATTTTAATTTAAAATTTTAATTAAAATAATTTTTTAATTAAAGCAATGCTTTATTTAAAGTTATTATTATTTTTCAACTTTTTCCTTTTAATTTTTCAATATTCTTCTTGTTTTATTCAACGTGATAAACGATTATTAGTGGAATCTAAACAGATTGTTTATCATGCATCAGGCTCTAATATTAATTTTCCTTTAATTAAATTGATAAAATTTGAATTGAAAAAATTGAAATTGGATTTGAATTTAAATGAAGATGAGCAGCAATATTTTACAGAAATTATTATAGAAATAAGTGAAGAATTGAAAAACAAATCTTTTTATATTTCAATACCTCAAACCCCTTCCAGGAACCAAGAACAGACTATTAATAGTACTACATATAATACAATTAATGCAAACGAAGGTGAAAATGGAGAAAAACAAATGGAAATTGAAATGAAATACAAAAATGAGTATAAGGAAGGAATTCTTATTTGTGGATTAGAGAATTTTAGGGGAGAGGTAATTTTATATTGAAAACAGCAACTTTTTATTGTTAGAAATGCGAGATAATATTACTATTTTAATAAAATTCGATCCGAGAAATTTTCGTAAATCCGACCGAAACCTGACAATTTCCATGGAAATCTTCCGAAAAAAGGGATAAGCTGGATTTTAACACTCAAAAATTTCAAAAGTTTAGCTTTCTTAGCCAAATCTTTACCTATAAATCGGCTAGTCTTACATTTTGAAGTGAGAAATTTCCGAGATCCAGTGGATATTTCATTTTTGACGAACAAAGTAACTAACACTCTAAAGAAAAAGGAAAGAAAGATAATTAAAAAAGACTAAAATTTAATTTTGTTTCTCATCTAGATACTTTTGGCAATTTATCCAATATTCTACGTTTATATAGATTTCGAAGTAAATAATGAACTTTTTAATCTTTTAAATTTTGAAAAGAAAGAAGTAAATATAAACGGAATAGATACATATTTTAGTCATAAAGGTGAACTTCATAAATTGATTAAAATAGATTGTTTCCTTAATCCAGCAGGAACTAAAAAATTAATTAAAAATAAATTCGTTAAAAAAATGAGGAATTTATTAGGTAAAAACAAGTTTATTGAAAATTCTGTAATTAATGAAAATCATCGACGTGCAGAATTGGAGGGAATTTCGTATATAAATATTTGTTTGAAATTTAAAAATCAGGGCAAATATAAAATTAGTGTATCGACTTCAATACGGAAGAACCCCAAAATGGAATTACATTTTTATGTTAATATTAAAGAAAATAAAGAAAAATGTTTATTTAAAGAATTTAAAGATTACAAAAGTAGTAAAGAGGTTATTGACCTTTTAAGTCAATTAAGTAAAGGTATATGGATTATTGTGGATAATCATGATGTTGATTTTGATGATTATATAGAATTGAAGGAAGTTGAGGATTTTGATGAGGACGATTACTACTATGCTATTGATAATTATACTGAGTTGAAACCTTTTTTTAAAGAAGATTTCAAATTTGTTGAAAAGAAGATAAAATACTAAAAAAAACGAAAAAGAAAAAAAAGAGGATTAAAAAAAGATTTTTTTGATTTTTGTTTACATACATAGTTTAAAATTATTTCTACAGAAGTAAAACCTTAACGGAAAATCCAAAAAAAGACAAAAAATTTCTATTATGTATAATTTTTCACTTTTTATGTTTTTTTAAATTTTATAAATTTTCTTTTCTTACAGATAAATTTCCATTTTCAATTCTATATATTAAATTATTTACGTGTTTAGACACTCGTAAATATTTTCCAGATCGGATAACAATAAACGGAATACGCCCACTGAATCAGGGACCGTTCCTTACCCTATCCCTCGAAATTTCTGAAAGTTAAAATCGTTTTCTGAAATTTTCAAAATTGGCTATAACTTTCAGAAATTTCGAGGGATAGGGTAAGGAACGGTCCCGGACCTAGTGGACGTAGATCCCTAACATGAAAAAATGTTTTTAACCCTTACTCTACTTTCCAACACCAAGAAAAATCCAATTTTTTGTTGATGAGACGCATATACTTTCATGGACGCATAAAAGTTCATGGGACGCATTTCCTAAGATAGAGCCAATATTTTTCAAACTATTTTTCAAATTATCCAATAAAATTTTGAATTAATAGGGTAACTCTTTCCTCGAATAAATTAAACTTTTGTAATTAAAGCAATTAAGTTTTACAAATACTCAAACTTGTGAAAAATACACCTGTAAAGGACGAAATTACTAATAGCTTAATGAGATTAAGAATGGCAAGGGGGATTTTGAGGAGTTAGCGAGAATGTAACGTGATATAGAGAAAACAAGAGAGATTGAGAGGATATCAGTGAATTTAAATGGAAAGTCCTTCATTGGGACTAAACCAAGATGGGGCTCTATTTCAGGGTAATAATAGAGAATATCGGGAGATTCGTAGAGATATTGAGAAGTTATTGGTATATCGCAGGATTAAGGGAGATCGGTGGGTTTGGATGGCTAAATGGGACACAATGGGGTCGGAAGATACTAAAGTATATTAATATCGGATTAAGTGTGTGATTATACCTGTTAATACCCTCAATTAGTCTAATTCCTCTGTATTCCTCCACTTACAAGTAGACTGAAATGAGGTACATACAAGGATTTATGGGATTAAATTTATTAATCCCGCGTGTTTCGTCAACTCGATTTTGAAGAAACTCACTATTGCTTGATTCCGTGAGAACGATTTTACCGACTCTACAAAAAATTACAAATAAATTCTAAGTTTGTTCTGTATTTTTTGGAACTCGAATCAAAAATTGAAAATTAGAAATAGCTCTGATCACTAGAAATAGAATTAATATCCTCAGAATATTCTTTTCCATTCCTATCTGATCTATTAAGCTTAAAATAAATGAAAAAACAACATAATATTAGAAAATATTAAGTAGCAGTTAACTTATACGTAAGTATTTTTTAAATGAGGCTCTATTTTAGGGTGGGGTTCTAATTCATGGTGGGGCTCTATTTTTCAACTACCCTCCAAAGTGGGGTTCTAATTCAGAGTGTGGTTTTATTTTCGGAAATCGGTATATTATGTCGATGGTTAGAGAGGTTAGAGAAAATTCTCATATACGTTTCATTATTTCTTTTGATTAATTTACTTTTTACGCAAAAATATAATAAATAAGATAGGTATTGAAGAAATGTAAATGGACAGAAATGGAAAAATATTTTAAAAAAATATATAAATAATTGAAAAAGTATGTAAAATGATAAAATTTTTAAAATTTATAATATATAAATATACATTTTACGGGTCCAGAAACCGGATTTTGATTAATTTAACTTACATGATCCGAGGTATTTTTTCGGATTAATCCTGTCCGGTTTTACTCTAGTATAAATAATTTTAAATTCTAATTGAATTTACGCGGATTCCGGGGGTTTTTTCAAATTAAAAAAAAATTCTGATAATTTTGTAGTAAATTATTTAAATACTATGACATAAAAAATCATATGTTTTTTTATAATTTTCTTTATTCGTTTCTTTTTCGCTTTTTAATATTTTTAATTTCCTCCTCATCAAATTTAAAATCCTCTTCAAAAAAAGGTTTTAAATAAGTATGAGTATCGAAATCGTCTTCATATAATTTCTCTAATTTTGTATAATAATCAGAATAATCATGATGAACCTCATCTCCAGTAATCATTATACCTTCTCTCAATTCACTTAAAAGTTCAATTTCCTCTTTATTCTTATAATCTTCAAAGTTTTTAGATAAACATTTTGTTTCGTTTTCTTTATTAATTTTAACATAAAAATGTAATTGCATTTTTTGACCCTTCCTTAGTTCTGTAGACATTACTCTAATTTTATATTTTCCCGAATGTTTAAATTTCAAACAAATATTTATATAAGAATTTCCACTCAATTCTGCACGTCGTTGCTTTTCATTAATTACAACATTATCAATAAAATTGTTTTGACCTAATAATTTCCCACCTTTTTCAATAAATTTTTTAATTTTGTTTAATTTTCTAGGTCCTTCTAGATTGAGAAAACAATCTATTTTGATCAGTTTATATAGGTCACCATCATGACTAAAACCTGTATTTATTCCATTTATGTTTACTTCATTATTTACTTCATTATTTACTTCATTATCTAGTTCAAAATCTATTTTAGCGTAGAAAAGTGGATAAATTGTCAAAAGTGTCTAAAAAAGAAATAAAATAGAATGTTTTTTCTGTATTTCAAATTTGTTGATTTAAGTGTGTTCCTCAAAAAATATCCGACGCGAGCAGGGAGGACCTGATGGGGCGTTACTGGGCTCCATTATCTGGGCCGGTTTGAGTATACTCTAATCTCAAAAATAAAATATTCGTATTAAATATGTTAATTTTCGATAAGTAATTCAAATTTTATAATTCTTTGTCTTGCTCAAATATAAACTAATAGTCCAAGTAAACCTATGTTTTCGACGAGACGCTTGTTATGTAATTTTGCGAAAAGAAATTTTGATAATAAATCATATTTGCTCGTTAGGCCTTGGCTAGCCAAAAAATTATAAAATTTCTTATAATAAAATTAACATTACTTCGAATATTTATCCTCAAAAGTCGGTTCCTCAAAAATCAAATCATAAATGCCGAGCGACTATAGAGGCAAGGGAAAAAATCAGTAATTTCCAGTTTTGTGTTCAAAAAAATTAGGCATGAGTTTGTCTTGAGTCTTAGATAATTTTTGGTCTTGGATAGCTCTAATATTTGACACTTCTGACAAGGTACCATCGTTTACTCTGACTGCGAATTTAATATATTTTTGGTACCATTCGATAGAAGACCTTCGATTTACTATTATTATGTACGGTGTACAGGTTTTCTTGCAAAATGACCAAAATGACTTTGGGCCGAGTTATAGCCGTTCAAAGTTAGACCGCTAGAGTCTGGAATTATGGGATAAATAAACAATTTCTCTCTTATTTTTCATCCTCAAAGAGCCCGCCACACCTCTTCTCTTTGTTTATTGTGTCTGAAATTTTTCTTCCCTCCTTTTTTCCTCGTGCCTCTTGTATTCTTTTTTCCTCTTTGTAAGACAATATGAAGAAAGAGAGAGTGAAACAAAGTCTTGGCCCAAACTAATTTGCAAGAAAACCCGCACAAAACAATAGTATGTAAATAGATTGTGCTCTATTGAATGGTACAAAAAAATATATCAAATTCGCAGTCACAGTAAACGATGGTTCCTTGTGAGTATACTAAGTTTTTCGTTTTGAATTTATAAAATCACCATTTCTTTAAGATCATTTAATCCACAAATAAGAATTCCTTCCTGATTAAAAACATTGAATTTCTTTTCAATTGTCATTTGTTTTTTTCCATTTTCGCCTCTAATTGCATTATATGTGTTATAGTATTCTTCTTCATTCAATGCTTGATCTGTGCAAATGTTTTGACCTTCTGGAATAAAAAAGGAAAATGTTTTTATATCCTCATTTATTTCTATAATAATTTCTGTAACATATTGTTGATCGTCATTTAAATTCAAATCCAATTTCAATTTTTTTATTTCAAATTTTATCAATTTAATTAAAGAATAATTAATATTAGAGCCAGATGCTTGATAAACATTCTGTATAGATTCAACTAATAATCGTTGATCACGTTGAATAAAACAAGAAGAATATTGAAAAATTAAAAGGAAAAAGTTGAAAAATAATAATAACTTTAAATAAAGCATTATACTTTAATTTTTAAAAAAAAGTTTTAATTAAAATTTTTAATTAAATTTAAAATTTTCTATAAACGATTATTTTATTTTAAATTAATTCACTGCCGACTATTATTCAATAGATCAGGTATAAAATTTAATATTTTTTATAAATCAAAAGCCAAATTGTATTTTGAATAAAAAGGGCATTCACATGAGAATAAATCATTAAAAAAGATTTACCTTTAATTTTATAACTTTTAAAAAGTTTTAAACTCGGACGTTGCCTGAATTTTTAAATAAAAGTTTTTTAATTAAAGAATTAAATAATATTTTTTATTTTCTCTAAAAGAGTATTTTATTTTACTTTAATTCATTGCCCTTTTTTAAACTAGATGTAAAATTGTATTTTATTAATCCAAAAGCCAAATTGTATTTTGAATTAAAAGGGCATTCACGTGAAAATAATTTAAAACAATAATTTCCTTTAAATTTCATAACATTGAAAATAAATAATTTACCGTTACTCCTTTATCTTGTTTTATTGTTGGTAGTAAAAGAGTTTCTTACTCTAGTAAAAATAATTTTAAATTCCAATTGAATTACCACGGATTCCGGGGGGGGGGGGGGGTTTCAGATTTTTCAAAAAAAAATTCTGATCATTTTGTAGTAATTTATTATAAATATATGATATAATAAATCATATGTTTTTTTTAATTTTCTTCATTCGTTTTTTCGCTTTTTAATATTTTTAATTTACTCTTCATCAAATTTAAAATCCTCTTCAAAAAAAGGTTTTAAGAAAGTAGAGTATAAATATAATGGAGTTGAGCTTTCTCAGTGAAAATTTAACCAAGCACTTTAAATCCCACCATTTATTTGTGTTAAACTCTAAAATTTTCTCAACAATATTTTTTGTATTTTAACGTGTTTATTTGAAACTTAATAAAAAATTGAGACAAAATTCACCATAGCAATTTAAAAAATTAAAAAAATTTTCTCAAAGTTATTTCTTGCTTCTAAAAATTATTAGTTTCAAACTTTTTAATAAAACATTTATAAATTAATTTTGTTTGGTAATTTCTAATAAAAACACAAAATTTTCTGATATACAATCGTTTGTGAACCATCTTAATTTTAAATTAAAATTAATGGCTTCATTTTCTTTTGTCTTTAAAATTATACATATAAATTAATTCATAATTTTCTAAAAAAAATTATCCATAAATTAGAGCTTAATCGGATTAATTTCCTCATCTCACGGATCATATAAAACTTTTGCTCGGCAAGTTGGACACCCTCCTTCTATCTGCAAAATATATAATTTAGACATTTTTAATTACATATTTCTCAATTTATTAATTTTATAAAAATTAAATTTAAATTCCCACCAAATGTTTTCCTTCAACATAATTCTTCGTCAACCTGTTATTTGTTTTAAAGTAAAATTTTAGTTATTTTTATTATTAATTGATATTTTTTTGTTATTACTAGTGTGTCATTTTAGGTATTCTAAATGCTAAAATAATTACCCAGGGTAATTATTTTTTCAATCTATCTCTGAAGGGGGTAATTAAAAGGGAGGGAGTAATTAATTGGGAGAGGGCAATTTTTCGGACATCAAATTTCGGACCTAAAATGACGCTCTCTAGTTATTAAAATAGTTAAAAAAATTACCATTCTTGGAGACATTCTTTATGAAAGTTATGCTAAAAATAAATTAAAAATTCTAAAAGATTTTTAGTCATTACTCGGCCTCGTAACTCGGGATTCTAATACTCGGATTACTCGAGCTCGGAAACTTCTTACTCGACAGACTAGGTTTAAATCGAGTATTTTTATGCTCCTATCGGGATGGGCTGTCGTTAAAATTTTATATTTATATAATGTCTGTTATTTGGAAACAATTTAGAAAAGAGTCAAACGATGTTGTAATTTGTAGATTTGTTTATTCAAATTAAAACGGCCAAAATTCTCAAAATTTTCGCCTGCCGCTCTAAAAATCTTATTGCGAATTACCCCATGTTGTGAACTGTCTTAGGGTTAACTATACGGTTGCCATTTTTAATCAAAGTAGTGTTTTATTTAAAATTACAATTTTAAGATACTGTTATATAAAATTACTCTAGTTACTCGATTTACATACTCGTAATCAAACTCGGCCTAAAAAATTGAACACATACTCGTAATCAAACTTTAGACTCGGCATTACTCGAGCTCAGATTTTTAATTACTCGGTACTCGACGTACTCTACTTTAAACGAACGTTGCAATCAGTTATTTGCTGAATTCCTCTATATTTTTCATTTTCTAATTCTATTAAATCATCCAAACAAAAACACTCTTTATCCTTATTTTTTTCTTTAAATTCTTCATTTATTTCAATATCCGTAAATGTTGAAACTTTAAAATTTTTTAAAAATATTGCTGTATTAATAGTGGTAACTAGAGCGCAAAAATGGACCGACTCAGACTGAAAGATCGAGTCGAGCATAGTGACTCGTAGGACACGATTCGATAAAAATGAGGCCCAAAAATGGGTCAGAAAAATCTCGAAAAACTAAGAAATAGTTTTTAAAAATTAATTTTGTTAATCCCCCTAATAAATTCTTACCTGCTGTTTTAGCTTTACGCGTTTACAAAAAATAAAAACAATCCTAAAAAAGAATGCCTTTTTTAAACTACAACCATAATTGTAACCATTCGAATTATAATTTAATAGATAGGTATATACCTTTATCAGGAAATTTATCAAAATATAGCTGGCTTCCATCAATCATTGCAAGGAATTTCTCAGAAACTCTAAAAAATAGGTTTATTCTGGTATTTACTTTTAACGGTAAAACGCATAATCAGTAAAAGCTGAGCGTAGATTTTGTGGTTACATAAAATCAGCAATTGTCTCTACAATTGTCATCATAGCGAAAAAACGCCGATTTTTTGTAACACATTACTAGTGCCTTTCACTTGGTTGAAAATCAAATTTTGGTGCCAGTCAGAAATATTCTATTTCGTTTCGATTTGAAATAAAAAAATTTTTTATTCCGGTCACCCTTGCACCAAGTCTACACATAAACGAAATCCAACTCTCTATTTAATCTAATGTCCATTTACCTTCCTTGTTTAATAAATTCCGAGCATTTTATTAATTCTCCAATATTTATTTTAAGAATATCAATATCTACCATTTCCCAATTCAGTTCTATTATATAAAATTTATTTATAAAATTTATTTTATATTTATCTAAAATAGCATTTTTGACATTATTTATATTTTTTGGTTGAGATAAAATTGTAAATAAATTATCTATTCCAGCTTTATTATGTAATTCATATATTTTATCAGCCAGGCAAAATGATACTCCGTCTTAAAAATAAACAAAGATTTATACCAGCAATTAGTATTTAGAGAGGAGCTTCGTTAAACTTGTTGTAGATCCGGGTTGTTCTTCCAAAAATGTTTTAACCTTTCTTGGGGGAGAGCCCTGATAAGTGTCTTGAGATGGTGAATTTATGAATAAAGAAATAAAAAATTTTTTAGAATTGACATTAAACCCATAATAACTAAATTTTGGTAATTAAACCATTGAAAAAACAATAGAACAACAAAAATAACAATCCCATAAACTAATGGTCGTTTCATAATAATTTTATTTTTGATAAAAACGATATTTTTATTTTTTTATTTTATTTATTGAGTAAATCACAAGGTAAAAATTACACTTGATGTGATTAAAAAATATGTAAAAAATGTCTGTAAATTACAAATTAAAAATTTTGAGAAATATTTAAAAAATAAAATTTGTCAATTAATAAAAACAAATAAAGATGAAAATTTTATGAAACGACCTAGTAGTAGTATTGAAGATAAAAATTTTTTCAAAATTAAAAAAAATTTAAAGTGCTTGCTTGACTGGGTCTTATTCCAACCCTATAAAATATTTAATTAATTTTACAAATTAAACAAAGCATCCCTTGTTTTAAAAAAATTATTCATATTTTAAATTATTCTTATCTTTATTTACTTACCTAATTCCTTCTGAATATTTTTCGATAAAATAAAATTAGCTTTTTTAGTAAATTTATTTAAATAATCCTTGTAACTAAAAACACCATCTTTTCTCATTAATAATATACTTTTTAATTTATTAAATAATTTTTCATTGTATTTTTCAACCAATTCTTTGTTTAATTCAAAACAATTATTTGCATATTCCTCTCCAATAAAATTTGACATATCTTCTTTTATTATGTCAAAGTCTTCTTCAAAATCGTTAAAAACGGTTTTGTTAATTCCTCGCTCAACTTTCCATTTATTCCCTATTTTCTCGGCATAAATTTCTGTTTCGAGGTTTTTAGAAAGCAAAAGATAATCATTTACACAAGTAATTTGTTCTTTCAACAATTTTGCTTCGCAGAAAAATAAAATTTTCAAAAGAAAAATTAAAAATAATTTAATAATTAAATACATTTTTGTCTAAAATTTTAAATTATTAAAGTTAATTAAATAAACTTTAATAAATTTCATTAATTTTTAAAGCAATTAAAGTGAATAAACAGAGGGAGTCTGAGTGGAGAGTTGCCCTTTTTGACTTTCGAAAGCATTTATTTAATAAATATACATATACTATGTCTAATGGACTTATTAAATTGATTGTTAAATGTTTAATAAAAAATTTTTTATTTTTTATTAAAAATTTAAATTGTTTTTGAGTTCTAAAAACATATTTTTAAAAAGTTAAACAGGTTAGCGAGAATAGGAAGAACAAAAAAGAATAAAATTAACAATGATTACCAAGTACTTCAACTTACAACAACAAAACTAGTGCTAAGCATGCTAACAACATCTGATAAAATTAAACATTTTTTCTGATTTTATTTTTCTTTTTTACAATTCTGATTCTATTTTTATAGAATCAGAATTTACAGTTTACAGTTTCAATTTACAAGTTCTGATTTTTCAAAAGTTATGATTTTATTTTTAACTGGTGTTATTTCACTTGCGATTCAGTAATAATTTATTAAAACGGAAAGATAGAAAGTATTTGATCAATAAACATGTTATGAAATTAGAAATGATATTTGTGTGAAAATAAATTTTAAAAATTCAAAAATATACAATAGGGCAATGTGTAAATTTAAAAATAAACTTTTCTTTACTTACCCAATTTTGATTTATAAAAACTATGGGGCTCCTAAAACACAGGAAAGAGGATTGGCGGTGAATTTAGTTAATGTTATGAAATTAACAGGAAATTACTTTTAAAAAAATTTATTTTCATGTGAATGCCCTTTTAATTAAAAATAGTCTATTTAAATAAAAGGGCAGTGCACTAAGTAAAATCATTTTAAAAATAAAAAATCCAAAAATTCGGTAATTAAAAAATTTTTAATTAAATAGAAATAGTTTAATGTCTTATTTAAAAATTTTATCATTTTTTAACTTTTTCCTTTTAATTTTTCAACATTCCTCTTGTATTATTCAACATAATCTCAGCAATTACTAACAGAATATAAACGGATTTTTTTCGTTTATTTGTCTCTAATATTGGCTCTAAAAATAAAAAATTTATTGCAAAAAATGCTAAAAAAATTTTTTTGATAAATATGAAAAAATTTCTGAGTCCAGAATATGAATAAATTCAGACAGTTTAAAATCATTTTTACAAGAGAAAACCGGGCAGGATTAATTCGGAAAAATCTGACTGGATCCGGTCGATGAAGCAATGATAGTAAAATTTTTTGGACTATGCTGACAGGATACAGGACAAAAAAAAATATAAAAAATTTAAGCAATTAAATTTTGAAACATTTTCAACGTTAAAAGCAAAAACCTTTTTGAAAAATATGACAGATTAACGTAAAAATTAAGATCTTTTATTGTTCATTAAATGAGATCATAAACAAAAAAAAAGTTTAAAATAAACAAAATTTGGCGATTTATTGGGAAATATTAAATTTTGGAAATAAAATAATGGAATGCCGCTTATACATAGTCACCATCGGGATCTGATTAGGCCAACGATAAATGGAAATTTCATGTTATTAGAGAGTTTTATTGTATACGACTTCATGCATGCTGTGGAAAAATTCATTGGATGGGAGATGGAATTGAACCATCACGGAAAGGGCCCGAACCGAAGCAAAACGACTGTGCCACCATCCAATCCAACAATATTTATTTTCATTTATATTCTCTGCATGTGCGGGCACAACAAGTTTTATTAGCGGAATTCTAATTATTTATAAAATTAAAAGTCGTTTAGAAATATTTCCAAAAAAAATTTAACATTGAGAATCTAAAACAGGATTAAAAAAACTATATTGGGCTCATTATAAGATAATCATTTGAAGCTGAAAAAATCATGTTTGTAATAGTAATGTTTAGTGTCTTATAATGATAATGAGGCTTGACATAGCGATTTGATTGAGCAAAACAATTTTAATATATTTTTACTTCTGCACCGTTTTTTTATTCGTTAAATAGGAGGTTCTTCCTCAGAATCACTCAAAGGGACATTACCCGGCCTTGCCCATATTACAATATCACCGGGGGAAATAGAACTAGAATTAGTAGTTTTTGGGTTATTTGAAGAAGATTGTTGTTGTTGTTTTTGTTGTGGTAATAAACGATTAGTTGGAGTTTGGGGATTGTCTACATCGACACTATCCAAAGCTGAAGATGAAGCTGAACCAGAAACTCGACGATTCTGATTATTATATGAGGGAGTATATTGTTGGGAATATTTTTGTTGATGTTGAGATTGTTGTTGTTGTTGATTATTGTAACGTCGAGGAAGTGTTGCTGAAGAAGTAGCTGCTGGAGCAGCTGAGGTGCTTGCAATAGTTGCTGCACGTTGAATTGCCCAACGACCGAGAGGACCTTAATAAATGTTTGTAGAGAAATTTTAGGAGGGAATTAGTAAATATGTAGTAGGTATAAGTTGGAAATAGGATAAAAAAGTTTTAAATTTGATCCCTAAATAAAAAAAAACTTGGTTGAAATAGGACTACAGTTAAACCTCTATATTAACAGACCAACCTCAAGACTAGTGTTATGCCGGAAGCTTCGGTTCCGGCCAAATTTGCGGTATAGTTATTTACAATAGAGGTCTGATATTCATATTCTTTCAATTTTTATCAAAAAATTGTAGAAATAGAAAATACTGGGAAGGATTTTAACAGAATTTTCAGATTTCCCTTCAAATTAGAGTAAAGATTTTTTTAATTTTCAATTCCAACTATCTGTCCTAGCCATATCCTTTATTATCTATTAGTTTCTAGTACCTCTCGGCGACGAGTTACTAAATCCCGTACGGTTATAATAATTTGTAAATTCAGCAGGTTGTCTTTGTTGTGATTGTTCCTGCTGAGCCAAGTAATAGGCTGCAACAGGTTGTTTATATCTATTTATATTTGGAACTGAAATTTTTGGTTGTTGATAAACTAAAGAAGATGATTGGCTACTTATTGAGGGTGATCCTGTTAAGGAAATAAAGGGAATTGAAATAAATAAATAAATTATGGAGAGACCATGTCTTATAACAGGCAATTTTCTTTGCGAAAAACGCTGTTGTTGTTGCTGCTGTTCAGGTGGCTTTTGTTCGTTCCTAATTTCTAGATGTGTTCTGGGCTGTGGTCGATTTTGTTGAGATTGAATTCGCCTAACTGTTGGCTATAAAATTAATGAGGAAACTATTTATTAATAGATCTTTTACTAATTGTATAGAGGAAGAAGCGATTTCTGATTGTGAATAATCATCTGTAGCTGGGGGCGAAAGTTGGTTTTGTCGAGAAGAAAGGGTACCAGAACTCTCACAAGAAGAACAACAAGTAGTTGCGTCTGAAGAATTTGAAGAGGTAGTGGATGGAGATATACTTCCTCGTCTACATTCTGAGCATGTCGAGGAGGTAGAGGATTGGACAGGAGAATGTTGTCGAACATTTTTGTATTCATTAATATCGATGTTTTGAGGTTGGGGAATGTTTCGTAAATGTTGCTGTTATTAAAATTTTAATTATATTTAAATAAAATTTTGATAATTTATTAATTTGATTTTTCACAAATTTTTTGAAAAATATTCCAAATTTCTTTTTATTAAGCACTCAATTTCTCTCCTACCGTAGAAGGAAGTTTTCGCCTTTGTGATGTTCTTATTGCCTCATTTTGTGTATCAGCATAGCTGCTACTTCGACTTCTATGTTTCCTGTCATATTCACTAGCAAACTGGTATTGGTCCCCAGGTTGTAGACCAATTGCTGGATGATGTCTAAAACGCTCCTCTAAAATTTAGTTAGCCTATATGGAGCAGGAATGTTAATTACCAAGTTCATGTTGTCGAGTATATAAAATTGGATGCCTAATTATTGGAATAGAATGTTGTTGAGAATCATCAAAGGGAGAGGGCGATCGAGAATGTAAAAGTTGCTGAGTGCGAAAATCGCTGTCATAGGCATTTTGCCTTCTTCGACGTGGTAATTGATGGGCGGCTTCGGAAGTATCTTCTTCAGCAATTGTGTTTATATCATCCCCCTAATTTTTTTTAAATTTTGGTAAAAACAAGAGAATTTACTTCATTCTCCCCAGTTTTATTATTTCGATGTATTGTATCAACCAATGTTGAGAAAATTGAGTAGGGACGCTAAATTAGTAAAGGATATAATGAAGAATGTTAATGAAAAAAACTGTTGGACTCCACACTTGTACGTCACCAATTTTGTTGGTAATCTTTCTTAAATGTCAGATTTTTCTACTCAAGAGGGGACGTACAAGTGGGTTCCAACAGTAATAGGGAAACCACCCCGATCTGTGCTGGAGGAGATATTTTCCTTCCACCATATCTAACTGGATGATATTGTTCAACCGAAGGAGAATCAAGTTCCCCCTCTTGGTCATTAACTGGTTGTTGTTGTTGTTGGCCAGCAGCAGACTGAAATTACAAAAACTGAAATGAAGGTTATGGTTTTCTCCCAAAACCTTAGCAGCAGCAACTAAACCACGTAAACCACCGCCAAACAGACCACCACCTCCAATCTGGAAAATATAAATTTATTTTTAGAATTCTATAATACATAGAATTATTATAAAACTTTGATAAAAATGGAAGGAAAAAATTTTAAAAAAAAGGAAAATATGTAATGAAAGGAAATATAAGTAAAATATATCTATGTACAATCGGACCTCTTACATTATCCAAAGATACAACTTGCGTAGGATAAAATTTTCAGAGTTAGTTTGCCTATGTTAGGTTTTATATCATTTATTTTTCTTGTCAATTATCCGTTCAATTTAATTCAAAAATAAAATTTGAATAGGAAAAAACACTTGCTAGCGATGGGAAATAATCGGAGGGTGGTAATTGAGAACGGAACGGGCCTGTTGAGACCGGCCGGTTGAGCCCCGCCAGTTGAGACCGGGCAGTTGAGACCGAGGCCAGTTGAGCGCGGGCCGGTTGAGACCGGGCCAGTTGAGCGCGGCCGGTTGAGCGCCCCTTGTTATTTGGCCAGTTGAGCGCCAATATATTTTTACACTGATAAACTTCCGGCAAAATGTTTATTCATGTTCGGAACAACTTGACTAATGTTCGGAACAACTTGACTAATGTTCGGAACAACTTGACTAATGTTCGGAACAACTTGACTAAAGTTCGGAACAACGTGACTCAGGATTGCACAACTTGACTCATGTTCGGAACAACGTGACTCAGGATTGGAACAACGTGACTCAGGATTCCACCATTGTTGGTACCAGGCCTGTAGCCTGGATTTTTTTGAGGGGGGGTTGGGGCAAGGGGGAAAAATTCTTCTGCGCCGAATTTTTGGAGCCAAAGGCGCCAAAAATTTTTATTTTCAGCGCCCCAGGCGAAAATTTTGAGAATTTTAGAAGGCCGTAGGCCAAAAAAATCACTTTTTTTAGCGCCGGAGGCGAAAATCTTCCCCCGTCCTTGGAACAAAAAAACTTCCCCCGTCCTTGGAACAACATCCCAAGTCATTTAAACAAAATCCACCGTCCTTGGAACAACATCCCAAGTCATTTGAACAACATCCCCCGTCCTTGGAACAACATCCTTCGTAATTTGGAACAACTTCCCAAGTTATTTGAACAACATCCCCCGTCTTTGGAACAACATTCCCCGCTTCGCGCTCAACTGGACAGTTAACAAGGGGCGCTCAACTGGCCGCGCTCAACTGGCCCGGTCTCAACCGGCCCGCGCTCAACTGTCTTCGGTCTCAACCGCCCGGTCTCAACTGGCGGGGCTCAACCGGCCGCGCTCAACTGACCCCAACCGATTGAGAAAATACTCAGATTTCTTTATAAGATAGGATTTTTCAGTTCCAAGAGTATATTTTAAATTGAGATCCGACTTAAAATATTAAAATATGAATGAGATATCAAAAATTTGGACAAAGACCGAAAGGGAATTAACAAAAAACAATGAATGAAAAAAATGGACTACAATTAACTACTCGAATAATTCGAGTAGTTAAATAAAAACCTCTCCCAAAAGGTTCCCAAATTTTGTGGTTATTTCTCGAGCAGGTCTCAACAGCATAGTTGCTGCATATCGACGTTTAATCATTTCAAACTAATCAAAAATAGATTTTTAAACAAAAATTCCTTTTTAGTTTTTAAATAACTTTTTATCATTTAAACATATTTTACCTCAACCCCAGATTTACGTGCCCTCCAATTTTCAAGAATTAAAAGTCCAGCATATATTTTACCAACAGTAAGCTTTTGAAAGCATAAATCTGAATAAGAGAAATAGAAAAAAATCAGATTCAGAATTTAAATTATTCGAAATTTGGAAAAAGAATAAAATCAGAATAAGAATTATGAAGTGAAAATAAGTACAAGTATGTATACCGTATTTGCTGAAATAATTACCCAGGGTAATTTTTTCGATCTCGGGCTGTAAGGGGTATTTAATAGAGTGGGGGTAATTATTTGAGAGAGGGACATTATTTCATCATCAAAAATCAGAATAAAGAGAGATTAAAGGGAACATTTACCTCCATTTGGAGGCACAACAAGGTCAATCATATTTTTCTTTGATTTTAGAGGCCAAATTTTGCGAAGAGTTTGACGTAATTCTTCGTCAGCCTCATCCATTTCCTCGACTAAAAAATATTTTTTTAAATTAATTTTAAAAAATCACCAGGTCTCATTTTAATACTTAAAGATTCCCTAATTAAGGCAAACAATGTTGTTGTAAAATGAACTGTTCCGTCATCGGCAACAGGCCTTTTTAAATTAAAAAATATAATTTTTTAATTAAAATAATTTTAAGAGAGTACATATTCATTCGAATAAGATGTTTGTAGGCTAGACGATAGGGACATTTTCTTCCGAAGCCGACAGGAGGAGCTATATTACGAAGCTAAAAAATAAATACATAGTATATAATTAAATATATTCTTAAGAATAAAAACAAGAAGTTAGAGATCACAGAGTAAGTTACTCTTCTCTCACTTTAATACAGTAGAATTTAGGTAAATGTCATTAAAGTCTATTTGAGTCTCAACTTTACAAGAGAATAATTGATAGTGCGAACAATGGATCGCAATGTGTTTTGCGTCGTTCTTTTGGCTCCCCTGATTTTGAATCTTATTTAAATAATCTTTTTCTACTTCCAAAAAATAACCCTAATAAATTAAATTAATTAAATTAAATTACCATTTCATACATATCGGAATAATGAATACGACCACTAAAAATTTAATAAAATTATTCTCTAAAAATTTCTTCAATTTACGTTGCTGTAGGATCAAAATCAGCCCACACACGTATAAATTCATCTAAATGGTGAGGTCCAAGTATAGAGCTATCCCTCGTTAAATAATCAAAATTATCCATAATAACAGCCACGAATAAGTTTAGCATCTTTAAAAATTTTATTATACTATTAGATCTTTTCAGAAATTAATTTGTCTAATTTCACTATAAGTGAATTTTACGAGTTTAAGAATTTTAAAATTTTAAAATTAATTCTACGAGTTTAAGGAACAACTTTTTAAACTTTGGTAGAATACTAGATATACTCCCCAACTATTCTATATGTACTTCCTTTAAACGGTATACTCTCTAAACAGGATACACTTCATAAAATTTTGTAACCCCAAAAATGCATCTTATAGTGAAGTGAAATAATTTTTTATTAAAAATCACCAAAAAAGAAGAAAGGAACACAAAGGAAGTAAAATAAGCAATACTTATAGGTTGACTTCCACATGTAGCAGCAGTTGTAGCTGTAGCAACAGTTATCTTTGAGCATTGCTTTCCTCCATTACAGCTCATCATTATTTCTTGCCAAGCCTCTCCAGTTGCGCAACTTTATTTTTTAAAGAATTTTTTTTTGTTTTTTATAAAACATTTTTATTTATCAAAGAGATAAAGACTAGGGTTCAACATTTACGGTCATGTAATGTGAAAACCCCAAGTCTTGTCTTCACGGGGACGGGGGATGTAGTGGTACATATTAGCCTCAGGACGGTCTCAGGTTTAGAACCTCTCCACAAATCCCCGGTGAGAAATGATGGTTGAATACCGGAAGGATTTTTAATATTGAAACTAAGATACCGAAAAAGAAGTATTACAGCATTAAAGAAAGATTGAAAATTGTTGTGTCTATTAATTTCTGTGGTTGGGTCAAGTTGAATGTTTCCAAAAACCTTTAAAAATTTCTGAATATTTTAGAAATTATAATAATTTTTTGCCTGCATTCCAACAATAGCGTAAATAAAGAAAAGCATCCCAATTAACAAACAAACATAAGGTAAAGCCTATATGGTAAATTTAATTTTTAATTTAAAATTCAAAATAAATTACTTTAAATGATTGAACAAAAGTCCATAAAAGTATTCGAATTGTATATCCTTGTTGAAGAAGGCGAATTAAACGAGCTGCCCGAAAAAGACGTAAAAACCCTAAAGAAACAAAATGGCCCCCAAATTCAGTAACCAACTGAAAAATAAAAAAAATTCTTAGGAAAATTTTTAAAAAAAAAGGACCGCATCAGTTATAGACCCAACAACAGTGATAAAATCAAATCTGTTCCATCCATCTTTAAAATAATTTCTAACGCCAAAAGCCAAAATTTTTAGGATGGATTCGACGGTAAAAACAGCCGTTAATGCTGTGTTAAATATTCCTATAAAATTAAAAATAAATAAAAATAAATTATTCTTTTAATATCAGAATTATTATTCTAATTTAAATAAATTTATATTTTTAAAATTATTAATTAATTTATAAATAAATTAAAAACTATTTTTTAATTAAAATTATTCTTTTAATTAAATAAATTAAATTCATATTTTTAAAATTATTAATTAATCTATGGATAAATTAAAAACTATTTTTTAATTAAAATTATTCTTTTAATTTAAATAAATTAAATTAATATTTTTAAAATTAATAATTTATAAATAAATAAAAAATTACAATATACTTACTCAAAACTTTCTCGTAAGTATCAGAATTGCCTTAAAAATAAATTTTATTCACAAATTCAAGTTTATTATTAAATTTGTATTTTATTCACAATCTCAAGTTTTCAAGTTTTACAATTATTAAAAATTGAGAAATTGTATTTCAGTTGTATTTTTAAGTTTATTAAAAAAGTAATATGTATTTCTTTAATAATTTCAACTTTGTTTAAAATGTATTTCACTTCCAAGTTTATTAATAATTATATTTTGTTTACAATTACAAATTATAATTTTAATTTGTAATTACAAATTCCTAAAAACTTATAAAAATAAAACACCGTGGTATTTCATCATTAAAATTAATGTATTTAATACAATCATTGCCATAATAAAATATTCAAAAGGCGTGGATGTAACTAAACGCCAAATTCGATATTTAATAGAATTTTTGTCTTCAGGCTAAATTTAATAAATTTTTTTAACTAAATTTTCAAAAAAAAATATTTTTTTGTTTACCATAAAAAGGGAACGAGGTTTTGCATTAAGGGCAAAGTCAATACATTGCTTCTTAAATTAAATTTAATTATTACTAAATTTAAAATTCAACTGAATTGCCTGATTTTTATCCAAATCCCCTTCAGAAAGTTCAGCTTCTCCTTGCTCTTGAAAGGTTATAATAATCAAGGCAACAAAAATATTAACAAAGAAAAAGGGAAAGACAATGAAAAACATTACATAAAAGAGTGCAACCTTTTGTAAAATTGTAATTTTAAAATTACAAATTAATTAAATAATTACTTCAACACGATAATAAGGTTGGGGGCCTTGATCTTCGAATGTGGTGTCCATAGAATTTTGTCGAATGCCTGGCCAACCTTGACAAAAAAATTAAATTAAAAAAGGGACAGGAAATCTCTCCACCTTCGCTAGTCGTAACAACAAAAAGTGTCAGCATAGCGTTAAGTGTATTGTCATAATTAAAAGGTCTTAGACGCCATTCTCGAGTTTCGACACGTGGAAAATAATTCTAAATTTTAATTAGAAAAATAGAATTTCCTTAAATCAAACTCCAGAATCATAAACAAAATATTGGCCATGACATTCAGAAGCAAATCGTTTAGTTCGGTCAGTACAGTAAAAGAAACGGCCTTTGAACAACTGGACGGCAATGACAGCAAAAATAAACTGAAATAATAATTTTTCTTTATTTTACAAATTCTGGGATTGTAAAATAATTGTAATTGTAAATGAAACACAAAAAGTTTAATTATTTAAAATTGTATTTCATTTACAATTCCAAGTTTATTTAAAATTGTATTTCATTTACAATTCCAAGTTTATTTAAAATTGTATTTCATTTACAATTCCAAGTTTATTTAAAATTGTATTTCATTTACAATTCCAAGTTTATTTAAAATTGTATTTCATTTACAATTCCAAGTTTATTTAAAATTGTATTTCATTTACAATTCCAAGTTTATTTAAAATTGTATTTCATTTACAATTCCAGGTTTATTTAAAATTGTATTTACAAAATCAAAAACTCACTTGAAAAAGAAAATAAACAATAAGAATATTGAAGACATTCTAAGTAAATTAGAGATTAAATTTAATTATTCCCATCAAGTTAAAACCTTTAATGAATTAACAACACAATCGAATACAGCTTTAAGTTTTGGGATTCTTTTAATTGTTTTTAGTGGGCGCAACACTCTAAGTACCCTCAATGATTTTATTGTACTCAAGTTTTTCCCAGTGGCGCCAGATGTTCCACTTAAATTTTTTAAATTTTTTTATTGAAGAAATATTTAAATAAGAAATATTTTATTACGAAAATGCAAATCCTATAAGAGCACAAACAACAACGACACCGTCCAAAACATTCCAAAAATCACGGCAATAGGAACCTGGGTGTAAAATAACTCCTTGATCAATCAACTAAAATTAATTAAAATTTCTTCTTAACTTATTAAATATATTTTTATTTCACCTTTAATAACATTTCACAAGCAAAAACCCCAGTAAAACAATAATCAAAATATTGTAAAATTTTATTTCGAGGATTTTCATCATCAACAGGGTCTTCCGCTGCAAGAGAAATACTCGAAGCACAAATTACAACCATTACAACCTAAAATACAAATTTTGCAAGGAGAGGAGATTCAACTAGTTAGCATTTAGACCGCTTATTAGTCTGGGGTTTAAGATACTATATTAGAAAAAAAGGTAAAAGAAGCGCCCCAGGTCTCAATCGCTAGAGCACCAGCACGTTTCAAGAAAAGGCCTATAGCAATAAATTGCCAGGGGGTAACATGGATCCATACCTGTCCCAGGCTAATCTTTTACTATTCTAAATTAAACTAAAGTTTTTAAGCTAAATTTCAAAACCATTTCAAAATATTTCGTAGCTACAACGCTGTGTACAAGACAACGGAACGGATTAGTAGGTGAAAGAATAAACATTGAAGAATAAGGAACTATTGGTTTTGGACCGCCAAATGGGCTGTCCTCTTCATCAAATTCTTCATCTTTAATTTTATTTAATTTATTTTTTTTCCAATTAATTTGATTACCATCCAATTCTCTAGTTAATTCAACATCAATCCCAGCACCTATTTCTAAATCTCTTTCATCGAAACCTTCAAAATAAAATTTTCAAATATTTTTTATTTAAAAATTTAATTCTTTCACCTAAGGATTCGTCTTCTTCGTCGTACATTTCGTTAGCCTTTTCATCTGCCTTAATAATAAAAATGCTAATTTTAAAAATAATAATTGTTGGTTTAATGGAATTTATATTCTTCAAAACTATCCAAAATTGTCTTTCAAAATTTATTATAATAATTTTTCTTCTATTTAGTAAGTCCTCAATTTTACTTAAAATGGATTTTTAAAAGAAAAATTGTATTCTTTATAAAATTTTGTTCTCCTAATTTCAATACTTGGATCTTGAATTCACTAAAATTTTATTCAAATAATTTGGCGATCAAAAATTCACACGAATCGAAAATTCATTATGATATCGATATATCAGGACATCGACATCAATCGTCGACTCATCAGCGAATCTACTCGATGAAAGTTAGCAAGAGACAAAAGAGATATAGGTATATTTCCTACTTCATCAGCAGCCGTTAATTCTTGTGCATTAGCCAAGTTATCTACAGCAATAGCCAAGAAAACATTTAATAATGTGTCTAAAATTGTTTTTCAAAATATTTTTCTTTAAATTATTTTTTACAATTTCCAAAGAGTACAAGAACAATAAAATAAATACAATAAACCATTCCACCACCATAAATACCCCCTTGAGATTCAATTGCTAAATACATAACTTCATTCCAATCTTCGCCAGTTAATATCTGAAGGTTTAAAAAATGTTTTTAAATTTATTAGAGAAAGGATTTGAAGATTGATCAAGATCTAGAGCGAAATAACGAAGAATCACTAGAACGATCAGCGAAAATGTAGGCGAGATCATGTCTCGCCCGATTTTATTAATCGAACTCACTACTAGGACAACCTTAGGAACGAAGTATAACTTAAACAGGAGGTATCATTTTCTCTCCTCCATATGGTAACTTAGAAGTATCTTAAATTAATTAGTAACTGATTTAGGTGTTATCTTATAGATTTGGCTTAGTAGTGGATCAAGATATAAGGGAATTCCCGATGGTCCGTCGACTCAAGTTTGGTTTTTTGATTATAAAAATTACTTGAAAGACAGTAATTAATGCAATAGGAAATGTATCAAAATGAGTGTAAGGATGATAATTCTGAAAATTTTTAATTAATTAAACTTAATTAAATTTAAGTTAGATACTTGAAAATTGAATTTGCCACCAAATAATTGCCTTAAAAATATTATTTTTTAAATTTTTTATATTAATTAAATCTTTACATTCCCAACAATGCAAAAATAACAATAAAAAGAAAGAGAAGGAAAAGAAGTGAAATAATTGAACGCATTGAATGTAACAATGATCGAACCAAATTTCGAAGGCTTAAAAAATTTTTGAGAAAAATTTCTGGGAGAAATTTTTTATTTACCTTAACCAATATGAAGTTAATTTAAATATTCTAAGAAGTCTGAGTGCTCGAAGAACAGAAATACTTTAATTCGAAATTGATAAGAAAATTATTTTTTTTTTGAATTTACCCAAAAGATCCTCCTTTCACTTCTGCCCATACAACTTCAATAGCAGAGCCAACAATAACAATACAATCAAAACGATTAAATCTTAATGAAATTTTTTTTGTTCATTTCAAAAAATTTAGTTAATTTATGTAAGGAAGTGAAAGATCCAGCTGGCTAGCATTTAAAACGCTCACTATGCATGGGTCTAAGATCTACATATTAAGAGTTCCCGGTAGCTCTCAGTTGGTAGGGCACCTGCACGTGGTGAGCGAAAGCCCCTAGCAATAACTGCCAGGAGGTCTCAGGATCGAAGCCTGCCCGGGATTAAACTTTTAATTCGGTCTTACTTTTACTTGATTTAACTCGTATTAAACCAGGGTTCCGATCGACAAAATGCCAACCAAAAGTATAAAAATCTCGATTTAAAAGTATATAGGGAGAAAATTTCCAAATTTAAAGTAGTCTCAAAATTAAATTAGAAAATATTTATTCGTCCTCAAATCTTTTATATTTCTCTCCTAAATGAATCTTTTCTAATAATTTCTTGTTTCAACTGAGCATTTTTGTCAATTTCAATGCACCTTTTGTGGCGCCGAAGGTGCCAAAAAATCTATTTTTTGCGCCGCAGGCGAAAATTTTGAGAATTTTGGAAGTCCTTAAGCCAAATTTCTTCCATTTCTTGCGCCGCAGGCGAAAATTTTGAGAATTTCGAAGGCCCAAGGCTAAAAAAATTCACTTATTTGCCCAATCCCTTCCCCAATTTCATTTTCAATCAAAAATGCTGATTTCAAAGTATATACTTTCAATAAAGTATAAATTCAATTTCGTAAGTATGGAGGTCGCTTTCAAAGTAGAATACTTTCAATTAAAGCACGAATCGGAACCCTGTATTAAACACGAGGAGGGATACATATGACTGATTAGGGATATCCCTATCTAAATTCCACTGGTTAAACTTTAAGTCCAAAAATCGGAATTAAATATTTTTGGATTAATATACAAAAAGAGAGAGTTATCTAAAATTACTTTGATGTAAAATATGTTCTATAACCCATTGCAAATATTTTAATAAGCATTTCACTAATGAAAATTGCAAGAAAAGTAAATTCTGCATATTCTAGAAAATTAAAAAAAATATTTTTAAAACTTGTAATTATTATATACTTAAAAATTCAGTAAACCATTCAGGTTGGCCATAGTGTTCTAAAAATTTGATTTTTTTAATCTCAAAAATAATTAAAAATGAAGGGCGAATTAGAATAAAAAATAATTTTTTAAAAGAATTTACGAATAATAAAATAGTGTTCTAAAATACTTTAATTAAGGGCGCCGTTTGATGAGGGGAGGGGGGGGGTTGATTAAGTGATACTCCCTATTTATTGTAGG